AGTTAAACGAACCTTATGGTTGTACGACAGTGAAGCGTCATTGTTAACGCTGATCTTGCTGTGTTTGATGATGATGAAACCCATGTTGCGATGCTTATCGGAAACAACGGGAGGAGGTGACCAGCTTTTTTCAAGCGCCCGTTCATTTATTCAATTCTCCCTTTACGTCGATGTTTGATGATGATGAAACCCATGTTGCGATGCTTATCGGAAACAACGGGAGGAGGTGACCAGCTTTTTTCAAGCGCCCGTTCATTTATTCAATTCTCCCCTTTACGTCGATATTTGTCGTTCATGGAACTCTGACGGAGGTAAATCTAAATATTTCGTTGTAAATTTACTTGTGGGGGAGCCGTTCACACTATTCATGGCCATTATGCCACTCTCGATGGGGCGAGTGAAACCACGCATGCTACCCGTGGGGAATTAGGCTGAGAAACGTCGACTCAGAGCTTCATTAGGGTTATACTGCAACCATAGGATGGTTGATAGATGGCAAGTAGGTCGTATTTTCATCCTATAGCTACGACTCCACACGTCCTGCACGTCACGGGTGTTCTGAGGTTATGGAAAGATGGTTACGAGCATAGAACAGCCATAAACCAAGTGGGTTGAGGTTTTCTAAATATGTTAGTGGTTAGCGTGCTCCGTCTCATGTGACAAAGGACCCCTCGTTGCTGAATGGCCTTTATAGAATCTGGTTCTTTTGCGATAGATGAAAATGGGGAATCGAAAATCAGTCTGGGAGGGAATGGCATCCATATAGTTAGCTTATTCAGTTCTGGGGCACCTTTAAAAACCTTAAAAACTTTGTAGCCACCTACAAAAAACGGAACGAACAATGAAGATCAAGGTTTACAACATAAAAACAACCGCTTTGTTGTGTGACAACTGCCCATGTGGATTACAACCTTGTAACAATCGGTGTTATACCCGAAGCCATAATTATCAGGGAGAATAAAGTCAAAATTATCACTGCTACTGAACTTGGCGAGCCTATTCCCAACCAGAAGAATAGATGTTGTTCTTGATTTGCCATATGTACACACCTTTCTCAAGGTATTTCGCCACAAGCCGCTTACGGATTTCGGTATACACCTCTTTTTGTATATAATGTGCTGTGAAAAGAGGACAAATGCTACTGATCAACAGTTTCGTTCGTGAAGTTCAGGAGAAGGGTGCTTCTTAGCATCTTCGGTGGGTCGTCGTTGTCATTGCTGATGAAGAGACTTTGTTCTCTACTAACCCTTCTGATATCGCTGTATTGAGTCGTGTTTCGTTGATTCCTGTCTACACCAGTTTTTCCATGGCCTCAGTTGTTCATTATGCTCTATGCTGACGTAATAACAGCACAATTCTGACTCGGTTATTTAAAAATTTATGTTGGCCTCATTATGTCCGTGTTTCCCGTTTACCTGCCGCAATTTCACTTCATTCGTGCACTAGGAACGCGAAATAAACTGACAAGACGATAGAAGCCATTTTTATCCTAACATGGTTGTGTCCATGATCTAAATTCCAAATGAATATCAAATTTCAGCTGTGGACGAAAAAATGGAACAAGAGGTTCTTCTCAATATTGGAAATCCCGATAAACTTAAGTCAATCCTAGTTTCGAAGAGAGTGAACGAGGTAAGCCCTATCATTCAATGTTATGCTTACTTTTTGGGGAGATTCTGGGTCTCGTTGATCGACTGCTGTTAAGTGAGGAAGCTGATACCACTGTTAGCCTCCTAGAAGCAGCAACATATGGTAAGTTTAGTTATTTCCGTCCGTTACCATTCTATAGGTGTGTATTCTCATGAGGAATTACTGGACATATGTGAAGGCTTGATTGATCGCCTTTGGATTAATCCTATTCACGAGTCCTATCGTACTATTTTCGCTCTGTTTTTGAACGACGCAGTACTGGTGTTTTTTTACCCCAGTGACATTGCTATACCAGGTTGAGTATCTGGAAGACTGGAAACTGGAACGTCTATGCGTTCATATCATACGAAAACTTCCGAAAGATTGCTCACATGGTTCCTGGTACGTTCTTATTTTAGTCTATCCCATGGATCGTCATATTATAGTATCTTTACAACTTTAGGCAAAGCCATCTTACGTTTGGAGAGCTCTCCAGTTGTTCTTACGTCAATGTTTGAGTCCTTGTGCAATGAAGAGTGAGGTTAAAACTTGTGCTTTACGCAACTGTGTTAGGTGGTCACCCGAAAACGCACTTCAATTGATTGAATCATTGAAAGACTACCCAATGTCTCTCCAAAACAAGGGTCTTTTACTGAAAAAGATTCTCCCAAAACTCTCCCAGTTGGACACTCACTCTTTCACTCGTGCTTTGAACACTATTTTCCTCTTTTCCTGTTCTGTAAGTATCTAGTTCAGTCCTAATATGTTGTAGAAAACGCTTCCACTCACCTTGAATCATCTCCGCGTTGAATTTATGTCGGAAACAACTAATTTTACTGTGTAAGTCCCAATTTTCCCGGCTCTCACTGGGTACCTCACCTGTAGTGATCTTAAAGATGAGACATTTTCGCTCGTTTTCGAATTGTGCACTCAATCGACGCAGTTCGGTTTGGAACTGCTGCTTGCCGTAAAGGTGGGTAATGTTTCTGTAAACACACTAATTTACCTCTCATCTTAGAGTTTATCTCAGGACGTGATTTTGTCGGAGTTCATCTTCGCACTGCTACTGACAGTGTTGCCTATCCCATATCTGCAAGCCCAGGTAAATGAACTGTCTATTTTATTAGTTGCACTGTTGGTCTGTTTGAACTATTTGCAAAACTAGTTACATTTATTGGAGTCTTTGCTTACCAAACTCCGATTGCTTGGTTCATTAGCTATAGCCTTGATTGATGCAGTGCTGTGTGTAAAAATGTGCCAGACTTCTGATCGTGGAATCGAATGGTCCCATAGATCCACTGCTGCGTTTCACCATCCCATACACTCAAAAGTTACCTATCATGTACCAACCCATGGTCAAGGTCAGTGGCTTTTTTTCTGTCATGGTTGCACCTGAGTTGGCTTTTAAGTCTGATATGTGCTTCTAACTGCTCAGGCGCCTGTCGTCCATTCCGGTATAACGTTCTCAGCCGTTAGAGGTAAGTTGGTCAATACGATTGGATTTGTTCTAACTAGGTTCTCCTTGACTGTCTGAGATCAACGGTAGCCTCTGGATAAAGTCGGTCAGTTTTCTCCTTCTGTCCACCAGTTCCATCACTCGGTCGACCTTGTAGTATCGGGCACTCAGTTGACCTGTGTGCCTCTATCGCCCTACTGAACCGAAAAACTGTGCCCTTGCTATCATTTTTTATATTTCATATGGTTCTAATCACCTCTGCTGTGTATGGGAGACAAGCTTCACACGTAATGTGACACGCGTCTGCCGACCAACGAACGAGAACTTAGTGAAATGTAGTCCAGGAACTATGCCTGTGTTTTATATGGTACCTGTCATCACTCTAGGTTCATGCTCTTTGAACTGCATATCTGCCTTTTTACGAACCTTTAGAGTTTGCGCCTTCTAAACACCACTTTGATCGCTGCTTTTGCTGATTGTCGGCTGATTTCTGAATCAGCTTTTCTACGAGGTTTTTGCGATGTTCCAGACGATCCTGCGGCACTGATTTTCAGGATATCACAACAGTGGTAAGTATTTAGCAGTGTTTTCGAACAGAACGTCAGTTCTCTGTCGCACTTGTCGCCCAATCCACCTACTTAATCCATTTTTCCAATGAGTGCTTATGGTCCTGGTAGTTTTGTGTAAATTCGGTTCTCATAAGGACAGATGGGACGCCCTAGCGCTTTCATAGTATGCTTATACCAACCTGTTGTATACCGAGGGAAACTGACATGTTTGGTGCATAGATTGAATTTATCTAATTTCAGTTGAAGTCTAGACCGTGCATATGTGACAGCTATCCCACCTCCGTGCATTGTTTTGGGCAGCAGCATTATTGTCAATGACAACAGGATTGTTGAATAGGGACTCATTGGATGGTCCGGAAATCGTCCCCGCACTTTATCGATTATCTTGTAGTATTCAATCACTATTTCCATAATTCTCATTTTGATTTGAACACATGATGATGATAACACAAACGACCTTTCACCCACTATTTTTTGGACAAATATGGACCACGCCTCAGTACATACTTGATTTTCTGTGTCTTTATCAGTCTTTCAGCTTCTGGAAAGCACTTGACGCAAGGGTTGGTTCTGCTAGGATTCGGGCTACTTCGTGCCAGTGCTCACAGTCCCGGGTCAGCACTACTTACTTCCCGCAGAACTCGTGCCACAAGTGCTGTCAAGTCGCATAAACCAAATACCTCTCCGTTTGTACCCCAGCATCACATCAACGTTCGTGTTGGTCGCCTAGCAATGGAAGTCCTAGTCCACTTGTTTAAGGTCAGTTCTCCTAGGCCTATTGAACCAGTCCGTGACTGGGTCGCCGGTTTTCGTTACACCAAAGTTTAAAACTTGCTGACAGTAATTGCTGCGCACGCTGAACGGTTTTCGTAGATAACCGCCAGCAGTTGGCCAAAACAGACTCTCCACTGACCTCTCTCTTGGGACCCGATTACTCCAACTCACTGATCAGGGATAAACCCATTGTGGCCTCAGACCCTATAGGTTTGTGCGCTTAGTGGCCACTTCAAGTCATTCAATGTGGCTGGGTAGAGGTTTCACACAAAAATATGGGGATTCTTGTAATCGGCAGAAGCTCAAGTTTAGGCTTTGTAAAACTCCGAGTTTCCTGCATCCATAGAACAATTCGCAGTTTGCCTAGTCTTGAATCAACCAGTAGAACAAGCTCATTTTTGCGTGCCCGCTACGAGTGTAAAATGCCTGTTTTCCGAATCCAAAAGTATACTTACTCTGTTAGTGGCCTATGGTTAGTTGGGAGTGTTGCAGAGTGTGAATATCATTCACCAGTGTCAGGATTTTCCCCATTATGGGACGGGGAACCACATTATAAAAATCATGTCAGCTAGAGTGAATGTGTAGTTCTTGTGGGCCAAGCTGGTATCACCAGTCACGGAGCCGCTGGGTCAGTTTACACTTCAAGACAATACTTGTGAATGCGAATAGGTTCTCCAGTATTGCCAGTTTTACAGGTTGATGACCGCAGCATTAGTTGGTTTGATTTGATTCTCATGCACTACCACGGGTTTCGAAGCAGATACTCTTTTGCTGATTGGCAATTAGTAGTCACAGATATTGAATCTACTGTCGCTGAGTAGGTTTGGGCCACAAGAAGCTTTTGTTAACTTGCCTCATCGAGTTCCACTTGTATACTTCGAAACCCGATGGATCAAGGAATTAAAGGAATCCAAACAAGATAGCGAACAGCAGTTTCCATGATCAAAACCGCATTTCAACGGTTATTTTAGCAAACAGTACACACTTCATCGGTAGTCTAATTAATGGTACGGTTTTTATCTAGTGCTCGGTGTTTTTTAACGAACTTTGAAAACCACTGGTCTCCCCTTTTCCCTATCGCCCCCCGAAGAATTGTCCACAAATGCGCCAAAGTATTATGGATATCCTCGCCAATATATTGTGGGCCGAGTCCTCAAGTCCGATTGCTCTGAAACTTGCCGGTAAGTTTCTTGTATTGTGTTCCATTAGGTTTCTGAGGGGCTGTGGTCGGTTGCTATTATTCGTGTTGCGGATGCAGCAGTTACCGAAAGCAAGCCCACCAGCAAGCAACTTTGCATTTTTATCCGTCTTCGTTTATATTTGAGGTTCTTGCCTTTCATTCGAATCACTCCGCATGTGTGTTTGCAGTACTCCCTGGTATCCAAGAGCCTTCCCAGAAGTAACTAATCTCCAAGGCGACCGTGTGTTTGTGCACGAAAATGACAAGGATTAGGCCGTAATACAAAAACTGATAAGGTTGACTCTTTCGAAGCCAGTCTCGAAACGACCATACCCTAAAGCAGAATACCGAATTTCTGGGAGGAACCTTCAGAATTTTGCATATCCCTCTGCTGTTTCTATGTTGTCCGAGGTCGTCACCTGTAGCCTGTTGAACAGGCAGCTTGAGTGCTTCACGTCATTTTGCGATGTAAGCTGTAATCATATATGGCTTATTCCGACCAGATATACATCAGCAACTATGTTCAAGTGAAGTACAGTAGTTCTCCTTTGGATCAACCTTCCAAAAAGAAGCGCTTGAACAAGAGAATGTTTCCTCTACCCCCAGTTTTTTCAGCTACTGAGACCCTTTTAGAATGAGAATTCCGCATCATGCGCCACATCATACATCATATGAGGGATTTGAAGTTTAGCATTTCCTCGCCTATAAATCCCCTTGGCTACACATTATCGGCTTACATGACCATGGGTTTTACTCTCAGGATTTCCATTCTTATCCTCTCAGCTTGGATTCAACTCAGTCTTGTGGTTTGGTTAATACGTATATCTACCGTGTTTATCTCTCCCAGTCATAGCACATACAGTCCCCAAAAACGTCATTGCTTCCTTTCAGCACAGAAAGGGCACGACACCACATAAATTCACCACAAATGCACAAGTCTATCATGGTAGTTCCTTGGTGATTTCAGTTCGAACCCGATACTCGATCACAATAACATGGTCAGGGGTGCTTGGCGAAATACACTCAATTGCAGAATTAGTTGGTGTTAACGGGAAGCTCAGGTGAATTCCAGATGAATCGTTTGTCAGCTTCGAAACCCAGATAAACGTGCTTACTTGAATTTTTCATTTATATCCGAATAGGAATGCTTGTACGAGTGTTATAAAACATTCGGAGAAAGTTAGTTTTTTTATTCAGTGGTTCGTGCCCAGTTATCATCAGAATGAATCAACTGCGAAACGGGCCAGTAATAATGATGCAGCTGAGGATTAGACTGCTTCAATTGCAATTTATCTCATTGCTTCAACATTTTTGATTGTAGCGACATATTATTTGCAAGTAAAAATTCCTTGGGGCGAACAGGGTGTTGAATTTCCAGATTCTCCTGGTACTTGCTCACAGAAGCCTCATTAGCCGAGCAACGGCTACTGTGCTCTTAACGGGAGACAACTTGTGGACAGAATGGTGATGTGACGTGATGGTGTGACGTTCTCAATGTAACAATAACATCAGCCTGAAATTCTAAAGTATCGTAGATTACTGGTTTTCGTACAGATCCACCGTCTTCTGCAGGCCGTACAGGAGAGGATCACACAAAGTTAGTAGAATTTGGAAACGGTGCTAACCATCCCGGATACATTACTGAGTGTTCCACATTTATTCGTGATTGGGAAAACCAAACCCTTGCTTTCTTTTCCGGTAACATCAAAACATGGTGTGACAATACTCTTCTTTTCGGGCATACCATCAGCATGAGGATCCGAAAAACCCGTGTCATCTGCATCACGGATATCAGCTACCATGCGGCTTTTAAGGACTGTGTAAACATGTATACTTAGGTTATCTCACCAAATAGGGAAAGTGGACGACTCTGATCTGAAAACCTCCCGACAAGGATGTGAACACCAGCGGTGTGATTAGCCCTCGACTACAACGGGCTTAAGACTTCACTCGCGGAATTCGCGTCACGGGGCCCGAATGACAGTACTTCGGATGGAAAGTCTGTGCCACCCTCGATTTCCTCCTTCTATGGTGGTTACTAGTAGTATACAAGTAGTGAAGAAAATATGAAGTTGAAACTTGATTTCGTCACGTCAATGAAGTCACTGTTTACTGGAGACTGAAATGTTCTGTACGGCTGTCCTTGGTGCACACCAGTAGTGCGCAACTGACGAATTAACCAGAACGCTTCGATCGGTAGTGTTTAATCTATATCCATAATCTCGTTTGAATTATACCCGGATTTAGTGAAACACCCATACAGACTTAGGCTGAATTCACTTGCCGGGCGGGAGCAGCTCCTTCTGTTTGCAAGCACCTTTGTCAGTCGTAGCAAACAGTAAGTAGGCAAGATACACTTGACTTTCCACTGAACTTGTTCAAAACTCCGCGACAAGCAATCCTAGAGTTACACATAGTTCCTGGCTGTTTTCAATAAGAAAAGTGCATTACATTTAATTTAAGTATGAATACCGAGCTTACACTCGGTCCTGATTACCGTTGCAGATCTGTTGGCGGATATGGGAGCTGCCAGCCCTTTGGACGTCGCGGTACTGGCTGACAGGCTGGAGCCTGTCATTAATTCAATTGGGTTGATACCCGTCGAACTGTCTATCGGCTTGGTTCACGCCCTGCTTCCTCTTATTCGTGCTGGGAATCAGCTGGTCGATGCATGGAATAACAGTCAGCAGCCTACAGAAAATCCAATGGGTGCGATCAGGACAAGGCTGTTCACAACCTTATGCAAGGCGGCATCCTCTCCTCGTGTTCACTATCGGCGAACGGCAGTAGCTTGTTTCCTTATACTGTTAAAACATTTAAAGGCGAGTCCGTCGAATGGAGTGTTGGTTTATTTGATGACTGTAAATATACCAGAACTGAAGTTCTACGCCTCCTAAGTCGTACCGTATCCAATTTAGTTAGACCGGCATGTCCATCAGTTACCCACATGACGGAGCGAACATGAGTCCAGTTTAATCAGTCTGTCAATCATCCAGTCGATTAATCGCTCAAGCGCTTAGCTGTATACCGTGTCCATTATCTTGTGTTTCCTTCCATTGTGTGGCATGACTTTGCTCTCGTCCATTTTTTCGCTTGTACAGGTTTCAGTTTCTGCATTTCGGTCCGCATCTCAAAACTCGTCCGGTAACCTGTCGCAGGGCACGCCATTTACACAAACCCAGGCAACTCAGTTGAATCCCCACCTCCTGTATAGTCAACTGCAATCCACACAAGTGAGTTGTTTACTAACAATCCATAGTTTTGGCTCAGTGCTTTACCTCTAACAATCATCTCATCTACCAAGGTGTATTTACTCTTCATACCCTTTTAACTATAGGTCAGAATTGCAACAATTGTTGTCACAACTTTCTGGTTCTAATGGGCGCATTTCAAACGATATGCATGGGCGGGATTACCAACTCATCACATAATCTTCCAAGACCAGGATTACATTCATCAATGTTCACGGCTTCCGGTCCGAAAGGGTCATGTGACTGAGTCTCGATGTTAAGGCTACATTTCGAGGTTTGTTGTGCTGATGCCAGGCGTGAGCTTTGCGACTAGAGAATCTGAGTCGCTTTCAAGTCTCTGATACTTAATGTATCATAACAATGGCCTGCATAGACTGATATTAACGAATTCACGATGAGATGGCCAGGAAACGGCTGTTTTGTACATCGATTGTGGAATACATTCAGTGCTACCAACCGAGAATAGATCTTTTTGTGTGCAACCCAGGAGACCGGTGGAGCATCTTGGTACTATCGCCGCGACCCTCTCTGCATCAGCTGCCAGTGTTTTCCTTGCTGTCATTTTCTATCGCGATCACCCAACCGACCGCCTCGATATATAGGCACCCGGAATGTTTGTTGTAACTTGGCGCCATGTCATTTCAATTTCCCATTTTTCTATTTGATTGCACAGTTTTATTTGAGTAAGTTCGCACGTTTGCACGGTAGTTGGTTCCAGATGTTCTAGAACTGTGTTGCTCTCTGTAGTGGTGATGATGGTGACGGTGCATGCGCTATTCACTCTCCTGATTAGTTTCCTAAACAGCAGTTATCCGAACTTTGAACCCTACACAACTATGCTAAATTACTGAAAATATCCTGTTATCGAAAGAAGGCGGCGCTAGCTCACACAATGTTGCCATGAAAAGAGCTCCACAGCTTCCAGCGCTTCGTGAATTGTGGGGGGGGGGTGTCTATAGACCGTAGTTCCAGGTTGCTAACTGGTTGCCTTGTACTTAATGATTCACTTCTCAAATCACAAATCCTATCATAGGATGGTTATGTGTTTCTCATGTTGGGGCGTGGCGTGTCTATAGGCCGTAGTTCCAGGTTGCTAACTGGTTGCCTTGTACTTAATGATTCACTTCTCGAATCACAAATCCTATCATAGGACGGTTATGTGTTTCTCATGTTTAACTAAGTTGTATGAGTTTAGTAGTTCGGATTATTTTTTATGTTGACTGCTGACTTCGGATTTATCGCATCTGTCGACTATACTCAAACCCGAACTCCCATCCTGATGGCAATGGTGTGTTGTTTATTCCAACCACTTGGTGGTGTTAGTTCAGTTTTTCGGGCTTGTATACCGCGTGAGAACACGCGTGCAAGTTCGTGCGATACGCTCACTCGGACTGTGATTCGGTTTGTTGGACGTTGGACCAGCCATGACGTCTTGAAGTCAACTTGGAATATCCGCAAGTAGTTTGGTTTCTGGAGCTATCCAACAGTCTGTTTCGAACTACCCTGACAACATTTTCAACGTTTTTCTGTGTGGATTCATCGTTAGCTCGTCCACACACTGCGTCCATAGAATGGTTCGATATCTGCACGACTGGCTTAGCTTCGACAGGCGCGTGCGCTGTTTTGTGTCCATAGTTGTGCGCACTGTCGATGATGATGATGATGATGATGATGTGCTCACTTGATACCGTCTTGAATGCGCTGATGGTTGTTATCAGGACACATTTAAGTTAATCCTGGAACGTCTTTGAAGTAGTCTTAGAGTTACTTCCGATGACTTCCTGTAGGAGTGCAGCCTTAACTCGCACTCCCCCCGTTTGAAACCTCTTTTCGGAGACATACGAGCAGAACCTTTCGCTTTATTGTCCCAGGACCCTTATTTAATCCACAGATTCCGTGACACTTTAAAAATTGTCTGTCATGCTAGTTGTTGGCTTAAACTAGACTTCGGTTGCTCATTCCGCTTGGTGATGTGTGTAACGGGCCTATACTGCTAAACCCCCAAAAAACCTGTCAATATAGCTCGGGACACCTTATAAATCAGCACACTTTTTTTACATCCTTTTTTGTCATCGTCATTTCAGCTTGCGCAACAGGCAGTTGTTCTGCCGTGTGATGTGGATCAGAATGAGGCGTTATGTACAGAAATCGTCAGCGTACTTCACCGGATCATCTTTTCCGCCTTTTTCCGATCTCAAGCCGGGAGCCTTTTGGAGGACCCAGAGAATAGAGTGAAGTCTGATATTTATTGGGTAAGCGAGTCTGATAGGAACCAAGGCACTTACGAGACCCTTTTTTCATTCCCGATGGCCTGCTGTAACTGACAGTGTAGGACCTAAGTAAGCTAGGTTCCCAATCCACACTTCACCTATGTTCCGCCGCTCACATCTACACAGCTGTTCAATTTCGTGTAGTATATATGACCTTGCTCCTCGGTTGGTTTCATCGTAGCTCAAGAAGCATGGCTCAGTAATGTCAATCAAACGATACTCAATGACACGTTATTGTTTTTATCGCTTTAAATAATGACAACTGCAACCGAAGTTTTGATTGGCAACTCAAGTACACGTGATGGGGGGGGGGGAGTGGGCACTTGAATCCCTTGGGTGTAATTCCCGTTGGTTCACCTCTTCCTCTGTGTTCGAAATCCAATTCAAGTCTCACTAACAATCCTTTTCTATAACGATCCAACCGAAATATCCATTTACAACTCCGGAATGGAACTAACCAAGTAGCTGAATGTTTTGCTTTGCCCAACACCACGTGGCCTGGGAATAGGCAGACTCCATATCGTCAACGCAACATGCTTGGCCAGTGGATGTTTTCAAAACTAAACTGCGCATTAGGAAATTCAGCGCCTCCTGTGTAGGTGTAACACAGGCTGTTCTACCATGCCAATTTCGTAGGTTTTTCTCACGAGTTCGGAACGTGGGTAGCAGAGGAACATTATGGGAATTTTTCGTTTTCACAGGGATTATGTGAAGTGGTCACTCGGAACAAAGGCCTCTGTGAACCGGTCTTGAACATGTATCTTCGATTACTATTGGCAAGCTTGTCCCCTTCGTTTTTGAGAGAAATCAAGCGAACACAGCCACTTGCTTCACTCACCGTACCTACCATGGTTGAGTCTTCACAACCGGCGTTAGGACCTTCTGGGCCTCCTGTTCATCTTGATGACCTGATCACCACTCACGGAAACACTGGAACGGAGGTTAGACGCACAGAGCATCCGGTAAGGTTTTTGAAGCTATTGCCCAAGTAGTAGAAAATCGCTAACCATATTTTAAGCTGTTGTTCTCTTAACTTCTTGTATTTTATGGTGTTGGGTGAAAATTTGATTTACTGGATCACTGGGCATCCAACGTGTCCTTCTCATTGATAGATTGTAACTGAAGAAGTGACTGGACCTTACCGGCTTGCGCACCCATTAAGCTATACTGGAGGGTTTCCGTGTAGCACTCACAGAGTCTCTCATACCAGGTTCATGAGTAGAAGTCTGACGAACACATTCTCCTGACTCTCCAGGTTTGGGGTTGGAACATGTGGCGACATGTGTTGGAACACGTGTTCCGTAAGAATGGTAATGTACTTGCATTTTCAGCTCAACACCGCTGTCTTGCGGTTAGGCTTTTGAGCCAAAGGCTTTGGATGAGGACCCCGATTGTCCTCCTGTCTAGGCGTGGGCGCTCTGGCAGTCTCCGAGCTCTCGTACGACCATGAAGTACACAACTAACAATACTCTCAGGCCACATCGGCCGTCGCGTGGTGTCATCAGGTGGGTCAACTTGCTTCCTGCATACGAGAGGGCGGGTAAGCGAAAACATGCTACTGCTGACATCTCCATTTTTACAATTTCACGTTTTCCGTCTTTCACCCTCTGCCACCCAAATGTGAATACTTTCTCCGCAGGTCCCATCTCTAAGACTGACCGTTTTGCTCGGCCATTGTCTGTCTAGCGTATGTGGGCCTCTCGGAGAAAAGACTGTCTCAGACAACTGGAGTGAATCGACAGTAGTGCCCATTTTCAAAAGGGTACTCGCGGTGAATTTAGTGACCACAGAGGTGTTAGTTTGACTCCTGTTGTGACAATGATTCTGGCGTCACTTACTCTTCGATATTTTACGGTGGCACGGGAAGCTTTGACTCGTGAGAACCAAGCGGTATTTGGACTGGGTAGAGACAGCGTTGACCACGTGTTGGCACTCCGTCAGATGTTAGAGCACGGCCATATGTACAGGTGACCACACAATCTTCGTATCCCTTGTCTTCAAGGATGCGTTTGATTCTGTTGATCGACCATTGCCGTTAACTACACTTGCTCAACAGGGTATGCCCCAGAAGTTTGTAAACATAATCCGATCCCTATATCCACATACTTGTGGGAGGGTGAGAGTGTATGGTGAGCTCTTCAAAAGCTCCTATAAAAAGTGGTGTCAGACAAGGATCCACTCTTGTTCAACTTCGTCATCGATGAAATAATGGGGCGAATACTGGACGGTTCTCAAAACCCCGGTGTCCAAATTATTGCTGGTGAGAACCTTGTCGATCTGGAGTGCGCAGATGATATCGCCTTCATCTTTGAAGATCTAATCGAAGCACAAGTCCTCTTTAATGGACTGACCACCATTACATCTTTTGGTATGCGCTTTACACCTTCAAAGTGCAAAGTCATGCACTCATTGGAATCAAAAGTAAGGATGAGCCGGTACCAGAATTAGTGCGGGACCAAGCGGTCGGTTACACCGAATGGGTCTAATTTGCCGGACACGATTATTGCACTAAGGACTATCCAGTACAACTATCATCAACTTTCGGCATCTAAAACATCAATGTGAAAAGCAGCAGATTCGCTTTCATCACGTTTTGTTCAAAAAGAAATGACAGTGAACTCAAAGCAGAGTCCTTCGCTAATAAAGTTTGTCATTAATTCTTTGTGAACGGCTGCGAATCGGGAATTTCGAGCTGATCATTGAATGGGTGCGGTTTTTTGTTCGTAAGAGAGATCACTTTCTAAGCAGATTCGATGTATCATCGCATCACTTTTTTATCAGTCAAGGTTAACCTCGTATGCTAGCTGCTATCCATCCCCATAGATTGCATACGACAGTTCTGACAGGTGTTTACTTTTCTTGATTGTCCACACTGCGCGCTTCAGGACATCCTGGTATGGTGCCTTCAGTCTGTGCTTACGTTGCCACAGTTTGTGTTGTCCTGGAGACAATATCGCTTGAAACGTGCTCAAGCCCGCGCTTCATCCGCCAACGAAAGCGGGGAAGAATCGTCTGAATCTGCCTCCATGGGTTTCAGTCAGTTTACTCAGTCAACAGTCACGGGTTCTGTCGCATGTGGCCGCGCAGTTTCAACATCGCTTTTCTCGAAGGCTGTCACCCTGCTCCTGTCTCTTTCCGACTCATTGCGTTTGACACCGCTGGACGATTTCGGTTTGGTTAGTTTGCCCGTTACATTTCTATAGCTTCAATGACGCTAGTGCGAGTTGGATTGTGAGTAGTCTTTCAGTAGTCCGTTTACTGTAACCGATGATGCGCATCCGTTCGGAAAGTCTACTAGGCGTGTATTTTTAGGCGGATTTGTTCTGTCGGCACAAGCCGATCGGGGTTTGTTTGAATCGCTAGATAAGCAAACATTTTGAATCACTTATAATACCAACTGAAACCAGCCATACAGATTTACTGCACCTTCTGTGTTTTACCGTGCCACCCACATACGATCGGTATATGATCACAACCACGTTCGAAAAAATCCGTTGACGTTTCCAGAGTAAACTGGCCGCTCAGGTCATACATAGCACAGTCAAGCTGTGTTGGATTAACGGGTCAGATATTTTCCGGACGATCTATTCTCACTGATACTTCCATGTTTTTGTTGTCCTCGTTAGCTTCTTTACTTCCAGTGCTATTTTTTTCAATCCTCCGTATTTAAGAACCCGGACACCGATTTCGGAAACACATCTGCCGGTACCCTGAACCGTGAACGGGCAAACTTGCTTCTTGGCTTGTACGATGCATGTTTGGAATTGGAATTGAAGGATCCACTCGAACTCATAAGCGCATCTGGTTCGCAGCAGACACAATCGGGCAACCAAGCGTGAGTTTCTGGGCTTCCACCAACTCTTACTCCCATTCAGTTTTCGATTCGGATTCTTGAGGATTCACTGAGCCGTTAAAACGTGGTTTACTTTTTTGCAGTGATTTTCGGACTCTAATCCAATAGGTATCGTGTGCTCTCGGATTTCGTCTGTTGGACCAATCACGTGGATCTCAGTTTTTGTCCCGTTTCTCGTAATAGGAAAAACGACTGCGAAGTGGAGTTTCTTAATGATACGATTCATCATCACCATCAACGAAGCATGACATCAGTGCTCAACACCAATGCCCCTTGTACGGGCTTTGAACCATGTAGTCGCAGCGTCTGGCTCCGAAGATCCTGCTGACGGCAAAAATAATCGCAGTGTTTTTCATCAGAGATTTTGTTTCAAGCCATTCATGAAACCCATTTCGGATTATTTCTCTGCGGTTTGGACATCCATGGACGACTGCATGCAAACTACCGAAGGTCAGCGTCACTCACGCTCTGAACGTAGTTCGGTTGGATAATTTAATTGCAGCACATCCTGAAAGGTACTCATCGAAACTTTAACTTACTGTTAGACTCCTGGGAGAATACATGGAATATTATTCGGATCACCGTGTTCATTTATGCCATTGATTCGAGGTCTAGCCAATCCAAAATCGGCTGTTCGTCCTGCGTTTTCGAGACGGCATGGTTACCTTTTCGGCAACGGGAGGACAGGCTTTTGGTCTTGCCTAGCTGTATCAGTCATCAGCAGACTCACCGGTAAGGCGGTACGTAAACCGCCCGACGGTCACGCGTTATACGCACGTGGACAGATGGGCATGATGTAGGATACCGTAGTGTTTGGTCAAGTGAAGTGAATTTCTCGTTTCGCTTAGCTTACGATTCACAAACGATTCATGTGCAATGGAATCATGACAAGCATTGCGTGTACCTACAGCCAGTGAAGCCACCAGATTAAACGATTGGGGATACAGTGGGCGTCTTGAGGTGAAAGCAAATTCGAGAGGCTGGCAGACCTGTGTGGTCGAACTGAAAATCTCCTCACTCAAAGCTGACTGGACATCCGACTAAGCAAGCAATACAACCAATGGTTGTGGAACATGACTGGTTTCGGCGAGCCGACATCACGTGTCCCTGCTGTTTCTGGTTATTAGATTGTTGGTTAGTTCTGGAACCTTGTTATCCACTATAGCGAATAGTGATGTAACTGTGAGACAAATGGACTGTAACTTGAAAGCGTAACCATTGGTGTTGGGTTGGAACGGGCAAATAGACACAAAGATCTAGTTAAATTTCGAAGGATGGAGAACTCATATAATGCCAATGGGGCCAATGGCCTCCCGTAGATTGTCAACCGACTAGATGGGAAGGGAGGAGCAGAGAGTCACCAACGACTGTGCAGAAGTTTAGGTCATCTGGAAATGAATGTGGTTTTTCGACGAATCTGGTGAATTGTCATTCTCCCGCAAATTTTAGCTACACTAAGAACTAGGAGCGTCATCCACACTGCATACAACACTCGGTTTATCTCCTGACTATTTCCGACCAACGCTTTCTGTTGCAAAACGGAAGGATATAAGCTGACTAAATTATTCTCGTAGTGGGTATGCAACTTCCCCGTACTTTCATTTTATGGAGCCTTGTAATGCCTACAGACAGCTCGCACTTTTGTAGAGGGGATTTGTAGCGCCTTACCCATTTGATTTTCCCTTTTTTCACGTGTGGTATTAATTTTTTCACAGGACATCATTTTAAATTTTCTTCATACTGTCTTTAGTGAATCCAGTTGGTCCCGTATTCGCCAGCTCTTTGCTCGTCGGGTGGCCTTATCCACTCTTTTGTGCAACAAAACATCCAGTTCGAGCTCACAAGCTAGTGCTGGCAGCTTGTTGCTGCCAACCTTTGGACAAGGGACCCATTTCCGTCCAGGATTATTGATCTTGGGTCTTACGTCGGCGTCGCAGTCCGGGCTGTCTCGAGTACTCAGAGCAAGCTCAACCTCAGACGCCGCGAATTCATTAGCTTATCATATGCTTCTCACAATATCCACCAGACTTTCTCAGTTCACCCATTGTGCTGGCGGTGGAATTCCGTATGCTTACCGTGATCTGCTGGTTCAAGCTATTGCTTCCATATTACGGTAAGTAGTTAGGATAACTCGCATCCATTGTGCCATTCCGTCTTTAGACAACTTGCTTTAATCGCAGTTTGCAACTTCGTTTCCGTTACTAATCACGCTTTACTGCTTATTGTCACCAGAGGACTTATTGACGATGCCCTGTCTCTTCGGAACAGCTTTCCTCCCGAGTTTTCTGGTCTAGTCTAAAACATATTCCCGTCGCACTGTCAACAACTATGTGAGGTCAGACGTCATTCGATAGCTTCAGATGATTTTTAGCTGAACTGGTTGTCCCGTGAGTTGGGTTTCAATGGCTAAGAAACACCCTTCCATCGGTATCCTTTTTAGCACCCCATTTTCGTGAATGAGTAGGTTTCATGATTTTCTATGGAGCTCATCGATCGTTTGGCAACTGATAGCTTCCACTGCACCTTGCGTAAATTTTGTATGATCTACTTCACACAAAATTTTGTTTGGCTGAAGACGAGACCATTGCTTATGAACACTACAGTCAGACGGGTCGGGTGGGACCTTGACAAAGTTAGGGCATTCACATCATCTTGGTGGAGATGGAACTGTTCTCCCGTAGTAGATGGAAATTCCCAAGTTCTGTATCGTGCTTCCCGTCATTCTTTCTCACACCCTCAACTTCCGATCTGCGAGTATGTGCTTGCACATGAGTTAACCGTACAAGCATCGAAACCACTGTCCATACCATAAATGATCTGTGTGGTTATCCGTACTTTAAACCGTAAACCAATGGAAACCTAAAGGGCACTTAATTGTTCCGACTGGTGAGCTTACTGTCAGAGGTCACATGAACTACTCAAGATGGATTTTTATTGGAACGCCTCATCACCCAATAACCAACCAATAACGGGAACACTCAAATTGTTCCTTTTTTCTCTGTTACCGACTATTTGTGGCAATCAAGGTCCCATTTATTCTCAGCAGTAGAGTAGCGTTGCACACGTCCTAACAATAGCTCACGAGCTGAAGGTAGCTCAGTGGTCAAGACTCGCACTTACTGACCACAAGGCCCATGGTTCGAATCCGAGCGCGGCACCTCGACTTCCTCTGTCTAAGCGTGGACAACATTACAGTTTCTCAACTGTTGTGCCTTGCTGAACGGTGGTGCATCTCTGCATAGGTCCCTTGGCTTCCTGCTCTCCTCACTACGGTATATCAAAAGGCACGGTAGCTCTACACGACCCTTTATGAAGACAAAGGAATATTAGTACAACTGTACTTATAGGGTAGTCACAGAGTGTTCCACAAGGTCGTGCCAGAATCTCCGTGAGGGGGCGAGAAGCGTCGAGTCGAAGGTGCTTGACTCGGATTGGCTGGCATTCTGGCCAATCAGGGCCTGCCCTCGTTTGGCCCGTGTCCTGCATGTGACACATCCGTCCAAATGATGTTCGTTTATTAGGGACGGCTGGCCTCCGTATATCAACCCTCCTGCTTCCCTCGGGTGGCAGGGCAGCTAAGTAAGCTAAGAACGATTATTGTATTCTTCTTTATTAGCAATAACGCACCGAATAGTAGTCTGGACGGAGTCAAGTGTTGTCTGCAGTAGTGGTAGTGGTGTAGCCACTTTTACGTCGCTTAGCATCTGGCTGATGGACACGGCCGTTAGCGGCATAATTGGTGGAAAATGCTCTTATCCTTTAATTTCAGGTTGTGGGATCGTCCGTTTGTGACTGCTCAACATGCATCCATTCCGCGTGCATCGTGGAATGAGCATGTCAGGTGGCTGGTTTTTCTCATCGAGCGTCGCAACTTCTCCCTATAGATCCCACTTTCGCAAATTTCGACTACCAAATTCTACAAAATTTATTCGGCGATACTTGCGGTACCTTAATGAATGGCACAACCGCGCGGTTTCGGTCAATACTGTTAATGGTCAGCTCATTCTGGGGGCTTGTGAAAAGGAGATTTAAATCGCTTACTCAAAGGATTTAGATTAAAGTTTAGAACTGTTGTATCGTCCTATATTCACACACACCGTCCTTCCCGATAGTTTCCCGGGAATCTCAACAGTTGTCACAACAATAGCAGTGCGCATTTTTGGGCTAGATTTCGCTAAAAATATAAGTCACAAAGTTTCCTTGGATGCTGATCTTCCGTTCAGATACTAGAACCGTTCAAGCACTTCATGTGTCAGTTCACACAGGCTGTCTTCATTTTGTTAACGAGCATATTTAGCACCATGCCACTACAGAGCTGTCCCAATCCTGTCATTTTTTCAGACACGTTATTCGCTACTACAATCATAAGCTACTGGTCGATTTAGATCCTTCCACCACTCCGTCTGCTTCAACAGCCACTGCAAACACAAGCGCCTTAAGTATTGGTGTGTCAGATTCAGACCCCGCGAATACTGCTAAGGCACGCTCCAGCTCACCAACTGCCACGTACTCTGCTGCTTTAAGCGTCCTTGATGTGGCTTTCACACTTGCAATGGACTACCTGGGTTCGAAACGTCTTCATCGGCTGGCCGTGAGAATCTATTCTACGACAAGTGACCCAGGTTATCGCTATCCGCAGTTCGAACAACACGCTGCGTCCGAATTTGCCGGTGAAGGCGAGGAAGACAACGAAGACGACAACTTGGAGCGGCGTAATACCGATGTCACTCCCGCACAAGCTCTTTCTGCTGTTATAAAGTTGATCAAAGTAGGCCTATCACATTGTTGCATTCGCTACCTTTACAGTCAATTTTTGAAACTCATTGTTAATATGATTCCCTTTGGTCCTTATTTACAGGGTTGGATTACAAAGTTACTGAATCCGAACTCAGGGACTTCATTCGTAAGCACACAAAGAGTTTCATCCCAAGCTGTCGCTCACACACGGGACCTGGTTGTACTTATCCCCTTACTTGTGCGACTATGCCGAGCACGAGCCACGATAGGGTCGGACGAGTCCTCTCGCACCGCTAACATTGTAGGAAACATGTATGGTGGCTTGGACCGAGTACTTGCTTGGCTGATACGGCTTATGCGGTCTGCTGCGCCCCAGTCATCATCTAAGCCTGGCTCTGAGGCGGTAGGTTTACTCACCGCTGCCCGTGTTCAGCTGGTGAGCCAGACAGTGTGGCTGGCACATTTGGTAGAGGCTTTCAGTAATGAAGCATCGCAAGGCTCGGATTCACAGCTTAATTTGGACTATCTACTGACGACCATTGCAGCAGATATCCACCATACTTTAAAGGATGCTTCTGTTGCCCAGGTAAGTCTACGGCCAATTTCGACCCGATACTCTCCATTCTTTATCCACATTCGTCGATTTTGAAGAAACCAACACTGTTTTCCATTGTTTTTTTATTAAGCTGAATAGTTTGGTTTGGTGTCCTGATCTCGTTGGATGACATTAGTGGACTACTGGCATTCTTCTCAATGGTGAACTAAGTGCTATGAAGGTTCTGTTTCAAGCCTTCGATATAAGTATCATTCTCCGACAGAGAAGTGCTCGCGGAAGATTTCTTTGGGAGAAAGGAAAAATAATGTAGTTTTTCATATTTTACCCAATGTGAAAGAAATCTAAGTATGATTAATTTTCGCGTAGATTTCTCATAAAGCACTGCCCTTGTGATCCTGTCAGAATGGTTTGTTCCTGTCCATTGTCCATTGATCCATTGACACCTGGAGCGCTTCTGAGTCGACCTCTAAGAAAAAAACCCGTTGTCCGTTTGAAATTCAAGTGGTTCTATCTTCATTGAAGCATTTTGAACGTTTTATTCGAAGGGAACTAAATATAGGATTCTATCTAGGGGTAAAGTGTTTTGATTGTGAAGACGGAGCCAAATTGGAAGTAGATTTGTCAATCCATATCGGAGTACTGTCCATCAGGATTTACTTGAAATCGAATTCAGTAGAACGCATTATAATTGCATGGTATTGCGTGGTACTCTTGAATGAGACTGGAGGGTAGAATGATTTACTTTTCTTGTTCCCACCCAACTCGCTCAATGCTCTGAAGGCATCGATGGTCAAACTCTGAAAGTCTTTTGACGTCCTCAGCGCGTAGCGGCCAGGTTTCTGATCCGTATAGTAATATGGAGCGCATCGCAGCATTGTAAACTCGACCATTGACGGAAAAGCTGATGTGACGCCTACCCCATAGGTGAAGCAGGTCCACGAAAGCTACTCTGGCCTTTCCAATCCGGATGGAAATATCGTCTTTCTCGCGATCACCAGGACGAGTACCGCTGCCCATGTAGACAAACTTGTCTACTACCTCAATCGGCTCATCCGTAGGCATGAGGCTAGGGTTCGATGTCACCCAGTCTTGCAGTAGACTTTACACTTTTGCAAGTGTGTAGCACATGCCAAACCGTGATGCATTATTATTGTGATAATTCTGCGTCACCGCAGCGGGGCGGAAATCAATAGCCATGCCAATCAGTGTCTATATTTCCTGGTTTCTGAAAGCAGGTTATTCGTTCTTAGCGTAGTGGAGCTGGAACTGCCGAGATTTTCCGGCCTATTTCCCATCAATCCAGTAACGAGTTTCATGGGATTGGACCACACTGTCTCTTCAGAGATGGAGTTCTGTTTGGGTAGGGAGGGCTCCATTGTATTCAGTTAGCGCCTCTAGACAGGGTCATTTTGGGATACCTTCCAATAACTTGGTTTTAGAAGAGTGGGAATGGTCCCAACAGTTTGATCACATTTATAATGTTAGCGGAGTATCTTTTGATCTGACAGCCTGTGGTTTCGCTGCTCGGAAAATATCTTCAGTCAGCTCAAATAAACCATATGACTGGTTCGCATCCCTCTGAGCAAATGCGTTTAACAGCATCCTTCATTCAGCCCGGTATTCCACACGTGGCTGGTGTATGACGCCCAGCCGTCAATTGCGTTTAGTTCTCGGAGTCACTTACTTATACTGGAATTGCGTCATACTTCCACCTTGTTTTGTTCAAATCATTTGGCCTTTCCTATTGAAGATAATTTGTCCATGGTTACCCATGCCTTACCATCCTGTATTGTAGGATTCCGACTTACGTACGAGTGCAGAAGACCCCATAGTCGTTTAAGGTCTGCGTTGAGATGTGACCAACCCTGGCCCGGTTGTTACAACTACCATCCATTCCCGACAGACCCATATTAGCAGCAACCTCTTCAGACGAAACTGTCGCTTTTACGTTGTAGAGACTTCCCTCCATACCCGAATGCTGGAGGACTTTCGATCATATGGGAGGTTGTAGTATTCTTCTGTGCGTGTATTGGTTTTGGTTACTTGACTACTCAGGGGATGAAATTTGTCTAGGCAAGCTTTGTGGGAAACATGCGGATTGTGTTTCGAACTACTCTTATCTACTTCGAGTAGTGTGGCGACATCCTTCAGTATGCGTTCCTACGTCCTTTGTTCCCAGCAGGACACCAGTTATCTTCCAGACGATTCCGAAGGCACTGTGACATTTCCCATGGTTACGCGCGTGTCAGCCCTTCCCTTATTGAATCTTCTGTATTCCACTGTCCGTCAACTGGTCAGCGAATTCGAGTGGCTTCTTGCGCATCTTGCGCCGAGTTTGGGAGGTCGTATGGTGGCAGACAGTGAGTTTCTTATTGTACCGGAAACGTGAAATTACAGAGAAGGCTGGACTGTAAACTAGATGCCCGCACGTAATAGATAAGCTATTATAATACAATTAGTGTGCTTGTTGCTTGTTAAACGATGATTTTCGGAGGCAATTGTGGTGGGAATTGTGGATTTTTGAAGGTGGAAGGGCGCTGCCTCGAGAAAGGTGGCAGAGGAGTGGGGTTTGAACCGACTGGGGGATGGTAGCCACTTGGAAGCGGTGGGCGGTTTCGCAAAAATGAGCGGTACTGTGGGACGAGGACTGGAAACACCAGTTTTAAGCCCCGAAAAATCCCAGATTACAGTGGGGACAAATGCCCGTTTTCGAAGGCCGACAAAGTGAGCAGTGAGTCTGATGCGTGAGTGCGGTTGCATGAATCAGAGCGGACGTATAGGAAAGTAAGTCATTGACGAAAGCTAAGAGCAGACCCAAAAATGTACAGATTCTTGAGGTACACGTATATAGCCGTTTGAAGAATTGAAGATTGCATGCACTATTGTGGATCAACTGCAGTAGCTCAGTGGTTAGGGCACGAATTACTGCCTGGTAAGTCATTGACGAAAGCTAAGAGCAGACCCAAAAATGTACAGATTCTTGAGGTACACGTATATAGCCGTTTGAAGAATTGAAGATTGCATGCACTATTGTGGATCAACTGCAGTAGCTCAGTGGTTAGGGCACGAATTTACTGCCTGGAACGTTTGTGACTCAAACCCGACCCCAGCTGATCCTGTCTAGGCTTGGGCACACCTGTTAGTATCTTAGCCGTTCTGCTTCCTTCGGGTTGCGTGATAGCAAAGCTTGAATGGTTTCTGGATGAGGCCCGTCTCTAAATTCACTAGAAAAAAAAACCTTGGACATGTCCAACAGAACACTTCCAGGCTTTCCAAACGAGTTAAAAATTAAGTATGAGTGAATAGTCTCAAGCTATTGGGAACTTCGCAGCAGTTACTCGGTCACGACAGATTCGGTTGTTTTCGGTAAAGTAGGAACTAAAGGAGAGAACAATAGTCAATGGAGTAGGTGGGTCAATTTCCTTGGGAAGGGAATGAACGCATCCATAAAGGATGAACATATGAGTAATTGAGAACAGTGAAACCTTTAGATACAAATAATCCAAACTGGAGCGCACATTGGAGTGATGACGTCTGTTTGATGAATTCTTCGAGCGGCTACTTCAAGTAAAATGCGTTGGGAGTATTGGGATGGCTTGGGGTGAATAACCGAAGAATAATTACGACTTCCGAGAGGATTGCAAATGAAGAGAAACTAATTCTGAGCAATAGATTCGGCGAGCTTCTAAACGAAAAGGTTGATGACAGAGTGAAAGGCAAGCTTTCCGTTGTGAATTTTTTCGTTTGTCTTATCGGCGGTGCTTGTTTGGTGCATATTTGGAGGGCAACAATGAGAAGAACAGTAGCCTTTTAACAGATTACTCTTTGCATTTAAGAAATAAGACAAACTTATTCCAGGGCGACACGTTACCGGGATGAATTTCAGTTGGGTGAACAGGCACAAATGTTTGGTTAATACAGGCATCGAATCAGACAGGTTAGCTTGATTAGAACATTTGGGGAGACAGTGGATGACAGTATTTCTTCGGTGGCGTACGAACCAGATTCTATGAATCAATCGCCAAACTATCACAATGAGACAGTCCGAGATTGTATGGTAGAAGTAAACGTATTGAAAAACACTTATCTGAAAACGAAGCTGATCAAAACTGGTCTGATGCGTTGTGGATGGTGGCATGTATCTGACGCTTGCACAATTACAGGCTTGTTCTACGCGAACAGTACAATTCGAGTACGGTCTGTCTTGCCGGAAATCACTCGTTGTACTAAGTTCTACCGTTGAGTTTAGATTATGTATGGCTCGTGTGCGCTAAGGACAGCGTGGGCGGAACATCTTCGCTACTGATAACGTGTGACAAGTGAGCTTTTGTTGGAGGGTTGGACATTTACCCACCAATTCGGCGTGCTTCACGGCAACATTTTGAACAGTACATCTTTTATACCATATGTAGAAAATACCCACATTCACGGACTGTCACTGCCAAACGATTTTTTGACCACTGACCAACGAACAGCGCAATGTTTATCCTATTGATGTTAACATTTCTTCCTCCCCCGAAACAGACTCAAAAATGGACGAACTAAGAGCTGAGGGGAATTCTCGTGAGGAAGCTTTGTGTACAAGGCTTTCTACCGTGGGCGAAACCTTGTCCGAATTGCTGAAAACAGCGGTTCCGGCTCCAAGCGCCCATGCAGACAATCTACTGGAAGTCAGTGCTCGGATATTCAACTTCCTAACACAGTTCGTTAAATATGTGAGTCACGAGTGCACACCCTTTAACAGGGACTATCAGCTTCGTTTTTGACAAGGTTACGATCTGGATTCCAGCTTCTGGACAATAAATTATGCTACTATACTCACGATGTACTTTATCCAATGCGGATTAGAACAAGTCCATTTATTCATCCAATTGAGCTCGAATGTTACGTATAGCGTTGGGAATAAACAATTTATTTGGTGCAGCTGGATAACGCAATTATAGGACATACCTGTCGGAGCAAACCTCGAACCAGACGGACACGTGTGATTCGGTTATCGTTGGAACACCGGACAAAACAAATCTCATGATATTAGAGAGGAACAGGTAATAGTAAGATAACGATATTTTTAATAGTCCCTACCGGATGCCACGGGATATGAGCCACTTTCACAGCATGGCCTCATGTTTGCGATTGATGTCAGGTGTTTTTTCACAACCAGCACACTTCCCTTCGTTGGGCTCTGTTGATGATCCTCATCCTCTGCTCATTCTGTGCTCCATACTTTTTGAGTCCATAATGTGATTTGTTGGAACGCGACAGCGTACTTGGAATGAGAATATATTCCACTTGGAGTCGAAGTTCCCGGTGTAATTGAATATTACGACACGGCACCGAGAATGTTATAATAACTCACTGCTTGCCTAACCTGTTTCCATCTCAAGGGCCGTATCGCGTGCTAAGGGGATGGTCAAATGTACCCTGCATGGCCACAAATGCAAAACTAACAGTTGCAACTTTAACTCGATACACATATACAGGCACATCATCTAAGACAGACTATTCAAGAATATAGCCAAGGAGACTTTTAGATTTGAGTTCAAAAATCTTCACTTCTCGAGGGACACCTCCTTGAAGGGGCTACTGGGTCTGGCACGGGCCTAGCACCGTCATAAGGCGAGAGATGGGCTGATCCGCCGTTATGTTGCAACGAAACGTCTTCCAATTATCACCACTCATTTACCCAACCATGAATCACCCGCAGCCCTTAGAGACGGTATATGGTCTTACTAGCACCAATACATTTTACTATTCGAGTATTTCTCTCTTCATTTTGGTCGTTCACCTGAGTTTACCGCTTAGCAGCATGTGATGATCAACGGCAACATAGGATTATGCTGTCATTGTTGACCGACCTTTTTTCTACTCCGACAACAAGAATCTCATTGGTAAACAAATCCCCTTTCCATCCTGGAACGGAGAGCAGTCGCATCCGGTAGATGCTCTTAAGAGTAAAACTTACGAACGGGAGCCTGGAACAGACGTCTGTTTCATTGGAAAGGCAGTTGTTAAACAGATGGTCGTTCGAGTGAGGGAGATTTTCTTACCACGATACTGAGTGTGTAAATGTTCACCTAGTCAATCAATCAATTTATTAGCTACAAACCGTGTTCCAGCTGCCACAGTTTCACCCATCAGAAAGTGGGAGAGTGTGGGCATCCGGCCTTCCCAAGCTAAGCATAGGAGGCAGTGACATGTTCAGTTAGCTCAAGAACTGGGTGGCTATGCACTAAAGGTGATAACTTTGATGTACGAGCGCCACTGACTGTGCGATTGGACCATTTCCACCAGTGTCATTAACCATTGAGTCTTGAGGTTCCCTTCCAGGGAAGCGGTAGATGTCGACCCAACTCAGTTCACTGCTTAATGTTTCTATAATTAGTTACTAGGTCATACCCTGGCCACATCTTGGTCCCTTCCACTCAGCACAGATGTATATCTGGTTCCTACTTCTCATGCGAATTGCCATATCAAGGCTTAATATAAATCGTGTGCCATGCATCACTTCAACCCATGTTATGAATATTTCGTTTATCATTGGTAAGGCCACAATGGGACTATGTCCACCATGCTGTTAACATCAAAGTACATGGTTGACCTTCCCTCCAGGTCGGAAAAGCGAGGCATTTTAAATGACTTCTCCATTGCACTACTATCGTTTGTTCAGTAGTTAATTCTTCCTGATACGTATGCCAAGCTTGTCAACGTATACCAATTTCAGTAGCCTTTGATTATCCGAATTCCCAAAAGTTAATATTCGATGGCTGGAGCGATTTGCCCGTGATTTTCACGTTTTCTACGGTTTTCATAATCTTATATTGTTTTCGATTTATATTGCTTGTTTCATCAATTTCATGTTCTGTGGATTCGATCCATTGGAATAACACGTCAACTTTGGTGGTGGAAGGCATACAGTAAGATGATACCCCGAACATAAAGAACTAACAGAGATGAGAAACTATTATTCTCCAATCTATATCGGTTTCCATTTCATTTGCTATTTCTTTCATGAAAGTACCTGAAAATCGTGAGACGACGATGTGGCCGGTTTCCGGTACTTTTCGAACGTTTGGTTCGAGTGTATGGCAAAGAAGTATCCCCGAATGCATACTCGTTTATATCATACATCCAGGCAAGTTGTTTCTTGTTCTCCTTTTCGTTCGTTGAAGTCTTTTTATCAGATCTCGCTTGCTCCCGCCTTGTCGTACTCAAAATTTGCCGAGGAATTCTGTGGCCTGTAAATGTAGTCAAGAGAACACATCACACAATTAGCATTTTACTTACTTCTAGGGCGAACCACATGGGGTTACCAACTGTGTTAAAGCTGTCTGATGACACACGCACTTAGATCCGTAGGTAAAACGGATTCGCTGTGGGGCAATGCTGAAATGCCTTTGTAGATGAGCCCCGCCGTTTCTGATAACTAGTGTCTCCGATATTGTACTTTTCTGAATGCCACAAAGTGTTATATTGCTTAAGTATTCGTCTGTACATGAGTGCGCTGTTTCTATGTAGTTTAGCTATCAGGGCACGAGCTGACCACACAGCAAACCGAAACGAAATCCTGTGGTTGCCATTTTACCAGTGCCAACTGTCCGGTTTGTGGTTTCCACCGTTCGGACCAGACTCCAAGTCAAAGCCATTCTGTTTCATGTCCGGAAACTCTATACACAGATTGCAGTTCTCATTTTCAACTCCTCATGCTTGTTTTGCGATAGTAATAATGTATCTCTGCTCAGAAAAACAATACAGCCACCCCTTATAAGGTCCTTCATTTAAAAAACACTCCCGTTGAAAGAACCGTTTCTTATTTCTGAAGACTTTCCCCTACTATTTTTACTTTCTTCTATTAAGCACCCAAGCAATGGCCATCCAATCGTGGATCGGTGCCCTTCTTTTGGTAAAATAAGGCGTATAACCCGTTAGTTATCAGTAGTAATAATCCCTGTTTGCCATACACATAGCTCTTTTGTGTTTTTTAATGGATTTTAATGGTTTCCCAACTCTGGAACACCTGCATGAGTTGTATTCTCAAGTTAAAGTTCTTTGTCCACACTAGTCCAGTTTGGTTGAATGAGACGATGGGTCGTAGTTGCGATCCTTGCTGCTTCTGTTAGACACTACTATCCTTGGGCAACTCATGTCGACGTACAATGGTCATATACCTTCTTATGAAAGGCGCAATCGGTCATATTTTTCTAATGTTTATGCGTTGCAAACTGTGCGTGTTCAACCGCTGCTACGCATGGTTGACTTAGATAAGACCAGGAAGTCGGGGAGTGATGGGGTTGTATTAGGTAATGGCAGGTACTCAGCTATGGACCGAAGTTGTAAGTTGACAAAGTTGGAAGCAACAAAGAGAACCAGGCTCGTCAAAATGTGACATCTATTAACAGCGTATGCGGTCGCGATCCAATTACTTAGCTTCCCCCAGTGTGTGCAAAATTTATATCTACCATGGTCATTCGTGCATAGTTCTCACTAGTCATGGTCACTCGATGCCACCTATCTCAAATGGTCTGGGAGCCGAGGAGTTTGTTCATCACGTGGCCGTGCAATTGATGTCGCGCAGAAAAAGGATTTAGGAAACCGTTTGAAATGTGATTTTGTACTTACTTCTACCCTGTCCCTCCAGACTAGTGGCTGCTTCACGGTGCCTATACTTGATGAATTATAACATCCAGGTTTCCGTCTCGCTAGGCAACAGGTAGCCCGTTCGAAAGTCTGCAAAAACAGGAGTGTTGGAGTAGCCCGTTCGAAAGTCTGCAAAAACAGGAGTAATTCCACACGAGTAATTCCACCAGAACCCGATAGAGCTCAGACATATGCTAGGAAATTCCTATGAATACCGCTGCCCTAATAAGAGGGAGCTTTGTTACTCTACCGACTGGATTTCTGAATCTCCCCTCAAGGACACCTTGTTGTCGCTGACAGGCACCTTTTGTTTGACCTATGCCACGACACTAGAATGATTCCACCAATAAACTTTTATAGTAACTGTTTTCCTCTATTCCAAATTATCGGAATTGTGTCTCAGCGAAATATGATGGGGTAATCGAAGGCTTTCGGATGTGTACGTTGTTAGTCACTACCGAATGTCGCCTGCGGTTACGAACGATGATATGATATGGGAGAAGTTTGTAATAAAGGCTCAAAGGTCTAAAGGGAGATAGTCCATGCAGTAGAATCTACGTTTGTTGGAAATAGAGAAACACATCCATCATCAGTCTGTCTTGCTCGAGGATACACTTAAGCGATGTTCTATTCTTAGATATTTTTCTTCAATTGCTAACAATGAGTTCAATCGACGTTCGCTTATGCTCTAAACCTCTCGTATAATCGCACAGTAGCTAGAACAAAAAAGCCCCATGACTTTTTCTGTTTATGGTTTCGTTTTGTGTCGCCACTTTTATTTCCATAATACACTGAATTAAGAAATAGTTCGAATGTTTTTGTTAGGAGAGGCTAATGTTCTTCACGGTTGGTCAGACGGCTTCGGTGGGCTTATCTCTCTTCCAACTGGTGCTACTCATTTGATTACAGTAGTCACAGATTTTAATATTAACTGACGCTATTTATTTTTTTCTCCGGTGCGTTGTCGATCTTTTGACTTGCAGCATGCCGAAAGTGAGAAATTGAAGGGAATTCAAGACAAACAACCCCTGAAGAAGACGGAAAAAAATGGACAAAAGAGTGGCGCGTCATTGAAGAAAACTTTGCAACCCACCGGTATCCCACAAACCGTGGTAAGATTCACAACCAAGTGCCTCCTGTCAACATACTTTCTGTAGGATTTGGTGAGGGCGGTATGATAATGTTATGCTCTCTTTTTCAGATGTCGCGGTCAATCAAAGATTCCCGTGTAATACCTCAGCTTGTATTTTCCATTGAACAGTACGAAAGGTTTTTGATGCAGCTGTCAAAACTATCAAAGGTGAGCTTAGTTTGTTTGTCCAACTCTTCCGCTTACCTGCATTACTTCATTACGACTAAATTCCGCGTGAGGGTGAACCAGAGCCACAAAGCTCGTGAGTCTCATTGACTCATGAGAATCATTGCCATCTACACAGAATATAGGGGTTCTTGGAATGGACTGAAATCATACTAGGCGTCTGTGTTTCACACTATGGGTCATCATTTCAGACGGTCTCTTTGTGGTCTTACAGGTCAACTTGATGCGAAATGTCAAACTCGCAGTCTCGCGAGACTTCCGTATCAACACAGCCACGGTGGCTGCCCAACTGGAACGCTCAGCTTTACTGAGTCCTAGCTCCGACAGTGACGTAGAGGTACAAGACGAAAATATAGGACCGGCTAACGAAAACAGTATCGCTCCGGTGGCGGCGACAGAGGCTGACAATTCGAACCAGTCATCGACAGATTGTCCGCCAATGTCTGTCGTCGACTTGATCTTACCAGATAGCGGTGGGTCGCAGAACCAACTACCTTCGTCATCGACCCAGAACGAAACAATTACGCCAAAATGGGGCCGAGTACGTCCTAAACTTGTTCCCTTTTTCAGTCGTCCTGTTGATCGATAAGTATTCATTTAGCCCCAGTTTTCCCATATTTTTTGGAACCACCTTGAGAGGTGAAACTTATCAAGACGAAAAGGCAAACAAACGTCTCGCTCTTGTGCTCGGCCAACTGATAAAAAAGATGGCGATGTTAATGGTGATGATGGTGGTAGGTTAAAGTGCGCAGACTGAGAAAAAAAACCACGCAACATACAACTGCCGGTATTCTCCCTCCCGTGAGAGATCCCTAAGGCAATTTCTTCTGAGGAGTCCACGATATTGTTTCACATCAATCGCGATCTTGTGTCCGGTTTCTTCCAAGAGAAGACCCCCTAGAACATACCTATATTGCCTTCTTCCGTCAACTTTATCCATTCGCAGCGAATTCTCGTACTTGAACATCATCGGAGCCTTCTTACCTGATACATAATCGCAGCATGTGATTAACACAGATTCATTACAGAACACAAATCCTACGAATTGGATCATCTATGAAGGCCGGTTGAGGATGTATTCTTCAACCCTCTTCTCTTAACTACTGACGTTAAGTATCTTTGGCGAATGTTCAAAACTACAGTTTTGGCGTTTCAACGCATTTCTTTTCCAGAGTTCTACGAACGCCGCCGGTTTTTTCAGTTACTGTTTAGGTTCATTGGTGGGTCCTCAGCCCTTAGTTCAAGTTGTACTCAATAAGAGAACACACTGATGAAAGAAAACGAGGAAAATTTCCAATAACATTTTTAAGCTCATCATGACCACTTTTTGCAAGGTCTTCTCCTTCCATTCTATCAAACGCAGTCAAGCGATATGAACCCTTCACTGTACTCAAATGGTCACTTTCCGCGGGTGGTTTTATCGGACCCTAGAAGATCCCATGTCACCCCATGTTTGTTATATCTTTCAATGAATCTGGGAAATGCTTTTGTCGTCTCCCTCTACTGTAAACGTATGCGTTGCACTATATCTCTCTTCACACACCTTTTGGACCACATAATCGCAAGTTAATCCAACATCTCTGTCACTGGTGACAGTCTTGCATTTAACGGCAAGTCTAACTTTCCTGTCCCACCCGAAACGATGATGCTGTCATGAATTTTGTTCAGTCCATGTGTATCTGATTTAATCCCGTCACGTTTGGTTCCGTTGAGCCCACAACGACAATCACACAGATTGTGTTGGGTGTTGTCCCATTCCGCGCACCTCGACAAACAACCGTACTAGGCGAAAATGCAGGAGCTGGATCCTACCTAGTAGACATTGAGAGAAGGAAACTGGATTCAAACTGAATCAAATCTGCTACTTTTGATTGACACCGAATCTTTCCTCCACACCCCACGACATTCGACAAAGGAGTTTGATTGACGCTCACTCACTCTCTCCCCTCAGTTCCATCCGTATTCGACAAGATTGATAATCTCTTTCTTTGTCGCATTGTATGTGTATCGGTGTGTGCGTATGCGGTGTGCACAGGTTGCAGAAATTTTTATTTTCTTTTTCAACCTCTCCACTGGGGTCCTTTGCATTTGTGTCAAAGCAACCCGGTGAACTTTTGTCTCTCCTGGCCTCCCGCGGACTTTATATACAGCGTTTGGGATAAGCATCAGTTGGTGAATGTGTTCACCGCATGAGCCAGTATGCACGTTCGCTGCTGGACCGTATCGTGCCAATATGAATGTCACTTCTCCGTTTAGAGTAGCAGATGAGACACTCCCTTTTTCTGGAAATGTTTTATTGCACCTTTTCGCTGGTCCCTTACCTGCGTTTTTTTTGATAAATCGCTTTCTTTACCTGGCGTGAACCTCACGAGTAAGGTTTTTTCCTGCACCATGGGTTTGTGCATATGCAGCACGGAATTTGACTTCAACTGATTACTCATGTCTCACCCACGGTACCTTTCCTTGTAGGAAAATATCGGTAGCAGTCAAATCCTTGTCAGATGTGATTTGGTTTCATTTTTATCGCGGTGTCCAATAGCTGCCAATGTAGGCTAGGGACAGATCTTGTATAGTGTCTTTGTTCGTCCCAACCACATGTCTGATACTGCACTGTTTTTGGCCTCAACCACAGTTTTTTTCTTGACGGGGCACACTACTCATAAGGTTGCCGCGCCCACGACCGATTTCAGCCTTCTCGGGTCTCATCACTTAGGTACCATCACCGAGTTTCCATCAACCTTAGGGTCCACTTGAGCACTGAACTCTATACAATTGGTGAAGTAGACTCATCTGCAGATTAGGCTGCTGTTAACGGGAGACTGAACTGGATCCTAGCTGAGTTTCTCGTTTATGCTATTGATTTTTGTTCTTAATTTTCAAACAGCGTCTCTGGGCATCATTATTCTCTACCGGTGTATGACTGTCGACGGTCACTTGCATCATGTAGGGATTTTTTTCACTTTTCACTGGTTTGCCCGGAAGGACTACCGTCAATCGGACAAATTCGCCGTTCCTATCCATCTTTGAAGCGACGGGATGCGCTACTGTGTCAAGCGTGAAACGCATCAATAAGGAATTATTTTTCACTACGGCTTTGTATGCGTGATGCATGCAATTGGGAGAAATTTGACAGCGCTTTTTCCAGGAAGAGTGTTGGTGTGAGTGGACCCGAGGAATCGGTTGAAAAATATTGTGTGCTGTTGCGCCCCCGTTTTAAGCGGAGTGTACGTGTTGAAAAGTTGACCCCGTTTTAAGCGGAGTGTACGTGTTTGAAAAGTTGAGGGAACCGCTGAGATTAGTCCACGGCCAAGCTGTGGTATGCATTTAGTTGACTTAGGTCTGTAACCAGATTGCCTGAAGTTAACCGGTCATCCTTTTTTTCCACACAGCCCCACCTCGTGAACACGCGGCACTGGCCATTTTAAGATCCAAATCCAGATGTAGCGTACGAATACAAAAGCCAACTCCACAAGCAAAGTATGCTTAATGCATGATAGTCGGGTGCTGATCGCGAAGATATAATCGAGGTTGCAGTAAACACATGGAGGTTGTTTAGCTAGCACATTCTAACTCTATGCCATATGGTGCGCTTCTTGCGTTCTCCGAGCAGGACGAGGGTGAAAACCAAATAATAGCAGAAGACGGTTACCTGTTGAAAGCTTTATCTCATAGCTTGAGCACTGTAACTCACCGTTACCCTAGATGAGTACCAACTACCTCCGGAAGAAGTTGCCTCTTACACCAGTCCAGAACGACATTTCTACCCTTAACAGGTTGAACTAAGCAATGCAGGTTTTCCCAAGTTTGACGGATATGCATGTCAACTCACGGCGTTGATAATACAGTTTTCATTCGAATTCGGTTTTCATCCAGTCGACTCGAAGCTTTATCAGCACACTCCACATTTCGTGAACGTTCCCATTTGTATTTTCAGTCAGTAAAGCCGAGTGCTACCCGGTTATCCGCTCTGAAGCGTCATTCAACCAATACAACCGAGCCTACAAATCAAAAGAAGCGACGTTGATTTCCCCACTACGAACTTTCATAACTTCAGAATTAACCCTCATCACTTGTACATCTTGACGTCCATAATACTGTATTTTCATGCTGTTTTAACTGTGGTTTTAGCCGAAGAATGTGAATACTTCTGAACACATCTCCGTGTACACATTGCAGCACTTTTTTCGAGGCAGTTGAAGTGTCGGGTGATTAGCAATATGCGGTGAAGCGTTCCATGGTTCACAGCCGACCATGTATCTCAGTTTACTCTCAAGTGTCGCTGAGTGAAGAAGCGTACACACACACCTGGTCGTCAGGTCTCAGTCAGTTTTTGGACTTACAAGTGACTCGTTTGGTTCCGACTACTAACGAAAGAAAGAAGGCCTGCGCTATTGAGTTATTTATTGAAAAATACCAACTGAACAGTTACAGACTTTTGAACAGGGAAGCCAAATTCTCATGTGCACAGTTACAGACTTTTGGACAGGGGAGCAAAATTCTCATGTGCATCAAATACCAACTGACTATGTATCCGTCTTCTTGAACGCGTCTTCCTGATCTTTCCTGGATACTCATTGACTATCGCTCAAACGTAAACGAATGCTACAAAGCGATTCCACTTTCCAATAGACGCGAAGCGGATTTGCGAGAAAACCATCCACTTCTAGCATGCTTCATTAGTAGTATCCACCGTCACACTAGGACAAGGCAGCTGCCGTACTCTAATAACTGACTAACTAACTAACCGGTCAACTTACTATCTAACTGGCTTTGTCTGTTCGTTCAGCCGTGACAACCCTTCAGTACCCAGCTGGCGTGCCACACGAGGGATGATATGCTGCCAGATCATCCAAGCCTGGACAGCAGCAGTCGACATGCCGGGGTTCGGTTAGAACCACGAATTTTCCGGTCACTAAGTTCGCGCATTAACCACTGAGTCATCTGGAACTCGCCTATGTGAGCACGAGTTGGGCACATTTTCCATAGAATGTAATCAATAACACGAACCTACACTGTATTTATAGCCAAACGGCCCAAATGTACTGCATTCAGAATTGGATTGTCTTGCTCCTCTTTCCATCGGTAAATCACCCGATCGCTCTTACCATTTTAGCATGGTGACATTCTCTGGTCTGCCATATGCCCAATTTCGCTTTCTTCTGCCGACTGTGGGGGACAGCTTTCTGACACTTTTTCTCAGCTCGATAGATACCAGGTGGTTGCACAGTTTCGTACACATCCCAGTTTCCCCCAGCACCCCGCACCCGTTACCATATCTCTTCGGCGAATGAATTGAGATCGATCTGGTCGCCAGGTGCAATTTAATCCATTCTGGTTTGGACGCGAGAATGCCGGGGTGGTTGGCAGATGGAATCAACCATCTGTTTATGAATTGCACCCACGGTCAGTGGTGCGCAATGACCACCTCGTTTCGCGAGCTTCATCTGGATTTATATCTCCCTTTGGTTTTACAGCTAACTAGTTAATTCGGCTATTTTCCCTACTGGCTTTCCGTGCATAATCACTGCCCGGATCCCATGTGAGCGAGCGTACCTAGCTATTGGACATGGAGTCACAATGTTCTGTGACTTCTTTGGTTTATGGTCTTGTGTACGAGGTTTATGAAGAAAATAAGCCCTCACTTTTGTAATACAAACAACCGTCTGAAATCCCAGTGGAAATGTTGGGGGTCGCTCGTCTCACGCTCTCCACCCGAACGAAACGCAGCAAATTGCGCTCTGTGGAGTTAGTGTCATTCTTCGACCGAAAGCTGGACCATATGTTCAAAGGCCTTTTACAGTTCGTCTTCTACGTTATGCAGGATTAAGAGAAACAATACCGTACGAAACATGCCCCCCCTTAGGTGGATTAAAATCTGTTATTGTGAGTTCTTTTCGCGCTCTCTTCAAAGTCTAGTTTCGTGGGTTGGTTGATAATGTGCAGCTTTCGACCCTTCATGGTGCATTAGTATCAAAACACTTGTTTGCATTTCTCGACCCTGTTATGCTACAATGGAAATGTGACCAGAATCGAAGTTACCAAATGAAAAAGGAATATGGGCAAGTTGGAGGCTGCAGAACGTTCTTGTGTTGGTGAGACGCTCAACATTAATGTGTGGAAGGCTCAGAAGCAAGGTGATGGCGTCGCACTACCATAAGGTACAATCAGACTGCATGTCTCTCTCCCTCTCTATTAGTTCGCTGTTTACACATGTTAATGTTTAAAAGTGGCTGGGAATGTCTGGTACTTCGCAAATTTTGGCAGCAGTGGATGCTGCTGACATTTTCAGAGAAGCTAGGACAACCTCACGTTCTTCTTGCGGATGAGCGAACGGAAAAAACTAGTAACCGGTCTGCAGCAGCGACTCATTATTCCTGGGTGTAAAAGCCGTACCATAAACCACACACACTGCCGTACAGCACATTCGGTGCAAGCTGAATTCCGAATTATTTGTTAGAGACTTACGGAGAGAGCCTTACGTGAGCAAGAGTACTTGATTTCCAATGTGAAATGATTGTTGCGTGATTGTGCATTGATTCTCAGCTAATTGGCGACAATTCTGTGGACTCCCCGGGGATGCGGACTGTCCTCGGAGAGGTCAGTCTTGAGGCTTGCTGTAATTTTGTTGTGTGTAAACGCATGAATATTTGTTAAGTCTGATGGGTCTGAACGTTCTGATTTCTACGCTATTGTAGGTGGTGTGAATATACGCCCACACTCTTCCCTGATGAGCTGTCCTCGAAAGAAGTCTCGTGGCCGTCCTCCGTTGGCAATCGCTCGGTGCTAAATACCTGTGAGATATCCTCTCTCCCACAGGGTCACTTTACTGACATAACGGGAAGCGCTTAGCCTCCAAACCTCAAACTTGCACTCCTTTGATTTTCTCTTACGAAGGTTAATTCTTACATGGGAACATCGTTGACCATTGAGTGAGATGCGCACTACTGACGATTCCCTTACAGATGTAACAGCTGTACAGTAACCCTCAGCTTTTCAGCATTGATCGGCTTCATTGACGATGAAATCTCAGGTGATGATACCCAAATGTCCTCAAACTACCCTCAATCCACAAGTGGCTCAGAGGAAGAATTATAATGGTTGATAATTCCAGCTGAGAAGTCGCCACTCTAGACGCCAGTCAACACATGATGTGGTTTCTGTGATTGAAGAATGAGTGGCGCTATATTCTAAGTGAGGACTGGTCGAACTGTTGCCCAGCCATTTTGCTCCTCACAATGTTTGAACTATCCTATGAAAACGGAAGCCCTTTCGCATTGTAACCACTGTGCGGATACGATTACAGTGCGAAAAACACTCCACTATTTCAAAGAACTGAAGGGTAATACTGTTACACGTGGATGTTCATGGGGACGAAGGTTGTACGCGCTCTCAAAGATGGGGTACGGGTGTAACGGTGTGTACTACTGATCAGGCATGCAAGTAGTAGTAGCTCTATCTATGAAAACGGAAGCCCTTTCGCATTGTAACCACTGTGCGGATACGATTACAGTGCGAAAAACACTCCACTATTTCAAAGAACTGAAGGGTAATACTGTTACACGTGGATGTTCATGGGGACGAAGGTTGTACGCGCTCTCAAGGATGGGGTACGGGTGTAACGGTGTGTACTACTGATCAGGCATGCAAGTAGTATGTAGCTCTATCGTAACTCCGTTCTGATCTAATGTAAGGTGGGATTTATTACAGAATTTGTGGAACTGCTCTGCAGCAGTGCGGCGAAGTGCTCCCTTCATTTCGGGGGTAGCGCATCATACTTTTTGAAAGCTTACAGTTGGGCATAACTTGAAGCTGAATGTCACAGAATGTGAAACAGAAATTAATGCATCATAACTTGAAGTGTTGAAATAACACGAAATCGTTTAATAAACTAGTCGTACAGCACTACGACACTCAAAGATGGGCTTGCCTTCAGTGCATTCGGTCTCCCACGTTTATCACCCACATCAACCATTCAGCGCTTGGTAAGCTAGATTGTTGGGCATAGCCGAAAGTGTTGGGAAGTGAGGTTCGCCACGCAATCTGGTTGATCGTCCATTTATTATCCGGTATATACAAACCGGTCAGATGAACAAGAACTTTCTCCAGGTTCGGGAGTAGGACTAGTGTGTGGTACGAAGTGGTGCTTTTCTTTGATCACGATGTCATGTGCCATTACTAATATATTTTTTTGCCAATCGCTGCCCACGGGGTTGTTTATTACACAAAACCAACAAACTTCGAACACAATTGAAAGACAGCTAATCACAATTCGAAGCTGTATGGCCTCAGATTGTGAACTCGAAACTCGGCCGTAGTGTACATCGATCAGCCTGCTGCAATTGTTCTAATATCCTTTTTTCGACCAGTAGTCTGCTTCCTCATAGCAACCAATTTAGCTGACGACCAAATGGAGAATTTTGGTATGAACATTGTCACCGTCCGATAAGGCCACCACCTAAAATTCGTGAAGAAACCGAATATTGGATAGTTCCTTAAGGATTATTTTCCTAGCTTGTCAGGACAGAACAATTTTGGACGATGTTGCAGATGGTATGTCCAGGTAACGACTGGAACAGTTTTAGAGAGTTGCACGTTCATGCCTACACAATGAAATCTAGACCAAAACAGTACCTTTTTATCTCGAATTCAAAAGATACCACAGTTAGACTGTAGAACACCGCGGTAAATAGAATCCTGAGAACTTTCGGCCAGCATACTCATGTTTCTTTTTCCACCTCCAAAGCTACTGACCAAAAACGGACCAAAGAATACTCAGATGGGATTCGATTTTAAGTTACGAAGCAGAACCCGAAAATGGATTCTGGAGCAAAATGCAGCCTGGGCTGAATACCGACGTCACCGAACAACAACAACATGGGGAAAATATCGGTTACTAGGAAATAAAGTCAACACGCTGGTCGTGAACGACAAAAAGGATTACCAGCTAATGCTTTTAGAGAAAATGGAAAAAAATTCGAAGCTTCTCTATTGGATCAGTAATAATAAGGAGTCTGTGAAACAGGGTATTTCACCTCTGCAAACCCCTAATGGACTGACGGCCACTGCGTCAGCTGCAGCTGAAGAACTGGCCGAGTTCTATTCCACTGTTTACTGTCAGAAGGAATATACGAACCGGATGTCGTTTATGTCTCCCTCACCGCCCAACTCCCTACATGAAGTAATTGGGACTCCAAAATGTGTACTCCGAACGTTACTTGAACTAAATCACAGAAAATCTCCCGGTGCCGATCAGATAACACCATTTATCCTCAAGCAGTGTGCTCATTCCCTATACACACCTCTCGGTGAGCTATTAAATTCGTCCCTAAATAACGGTGTGGTTCCCAACGACTGGAAGAAGGGCGTTATCACTCCCA